CTCTTAGTATAACTGTCAACCACCTTTTTCTTTCTTCTGGTATTTAAGGAAGACGAAAAGTTTTTTCTTTGGAATTTTTATCATAATTTCCATTAGAATTTGCAACACAGCATTTACGACCCATGTTTGTTATTTTTGTTACGACCCATATTTGTTATTTATGTTACGAACCATGTTTGTTATATATTTTGTCAAAAATTTAAATTTTTGACGAAATATATAAATAGAAAGAGCTTCGACGCTTAACAGAAAATATGGTTTAAAAAATGTTCGCAACCAGTATATGACGTTATCCGCACGGTGAATAGCCCTGGTTTAAAGTACGCTATGACCCGATCCTAAATAAATTTTTTCGATCTCATTGAAATACAATTTCTCTATGTTTTCCGATCTCATCAGCCATGTATTCGCAACACCGCCACACATAGTAGTAATAGTAGTAGTAGTATATTTTTGTTACAACAAAAGTAAAAATAATTGACAAAATACAAATCACAGATTGTCAGATTACAGTTTTTGTGAAGCTCATATTGCAATTTTCACTAAGGAAAGCTGCGAGGTGTAGTAACATTAAAGCTTATCGAGGCTTGTTTTAAAGCTATTGACAGTTTGAGAATTGATTACTTTATCTGGTAGCATTTTCCATGCATTGACAATGCAATTGTTAAAAAAGTGGAAGCGAGCTAAATGGTTGCTGTACTTTTCACGATGAAGTCTTTCTCTGTGACTTGCTCTGGTAGGGATTGTGATGAGGGGAAGTGCCAGTTAATTATGTCAATGTTATTAACAATTTTGTATTTTTTGATGAGGTCACCTCGTTTGCGACGTGTAACTAGAGTAGATAGGCCAAATTGTAAACATCTGGACTTGTAGTCTAACGTTTTCAGTTTGTCTGGTATTTTTGTGGCTCTGCGCTGTATTAGCTCAATAGTTTGTTCATCCTTCACCAAATGAGGGTTCCAAGCTGGAATTGCAAACTCAAGTAAAGGACGGATGTAGGTGGAGTAGAGTTCTTTCCATAAAAAACCATCACGAGATTGGAAAGTGTGTTTTAGGATGCTTAGCATCCTAAAACACACTTTCCAATCTCGTGATGCTTTTTTATGATAGATTGGGTTTCTAGTTTAAGGCAATGATAGATTGGGTTCTAGTTTAAGGTCATTGGTAATTTGAATGTGGTAATTTTATTTCGATGTCATCGAATTATGTGTTCATACAAGTTAAAATCAGAAAAAAAAAATGTTGTTAACGGCGGCATAACAATATACTATTTAATTATAACGTATTATGTTATTATAAAATAAAAAACCTTATTTAAGAATTTTATTTATTTGAATATCATTTTGACGTATTTCATATATATAATGCTTTCTTATAAAATTAAACCGAGGTAATATGTATTTAATGTTTATGCGAACTTAATTAAAAGGTTGAACAATGAAATTGTATCTAAAATCTTTTTCTTACTAATTTGTTACTTTTCAGAATACTAGGCACAAATATGCCAACAAAAATTTATATATAGATACAGAAGTATTTTAGGGCTCCCTCAGATACCCTCAAAATTGACCGCCCTGCAAAGAAATGACAAAAAATTAAAAATAATTTTTAATTTAATAATAACAACTACAGATCTAAAAAAAAACTACACTTAAGATAAGTACATTACAAGTTTAAATAACCAGTTTGTGACTTGTAAGCTTGCTAATGTTATGTAATGTTTTACTGTGTTGCTCATTAACTTGTAGCAAATGCTGTTTTTGATTTTCATCTTTAGTTGTGTTATTAAATTTATTAATTAGGGCTACACCCCATTAAGCAGACTTTTTAGCCCATGTTAGTTTGACAACATTCTAAGCCAGTTTTCCATCAATGCGGTTAGAAAATTCCCTCAATAAGCTTAGAAAACATTTATCACATCTAGTCATACTGAAAAACAGTTGTTGAAGACTTTAGGAACTGCCTCTGCAGTACTGTCAAGTTTTTAGAGGTGTGTTCAAATATCATTTTAACAACCAGTTTTTGCTTTTCTCTGTTAGGTAGAAGTGATAAGAATATTGCAGTCAAGCTTTGGCTGATGACTTGGATGTTTGTTTAACATATTTTGAAAGTGCTTGAAAAAGACTTTAGGCCGTTTCAGAAGACTGCTGTTAAGTATTTAACAGTCTAGTTAATTTCATAAATTGAGATTTTGCTGGATCCATAGCTGTAAAAAGAGGTGCTTTCACACAAAAAGTTGAAAAAGATGGAGTAGCAGAATTGCGTAAACATGCTGCTAATGTTTAAGTTTTTGGTATTAGTTTGTCGTGTGATGGTACTTGGCAGAGTGTATTTTTAAGATCTACCGAGATATAAAAATTGCGATATGTAAATTTTTTAGGAAACGGGGACATTAAAAGTTTACCGAAGATAGGTATGTGTAACTCGATGAACACTGAAACATGTTACCAGGTGCTTTCATGGTTAACGGTTCCAATTTAATAATCAATAAAAGAATAAAACAATCTAATTATAAAATGAATGAAAAAAATAGTTTGAGACGACAATTAATTAGAGCAAAAAAAAATTTAAAGAAAGACAATAATTTTGAAAAAGAGAGTATAACCTATGCACCAGGAGTATTTTAAATACTTTTTTTTAGATTTAAAGAAGTTAATGGTTGTTTTTTTTTTTTTTTTACATGTTTTGGAGCTAATTAAAAAAATGTTAATTTGCTTTTCTCAGTATGGAGTATTTCAGACGCCGTCCAACATTGCTTGCCAACCATTCAAGAACCGTTTTTAAAATTTTCATTGGATGTTTATTTAATGGTTTGAAGTGTTTTAAGTTGAATTTTTTTTTTTTTTTTATTTTTTAAACTCACTTTTTTTGCGGTTTTAATACCATATTATTGAATATTTGAAATTAAATATGAAAAAAAAATTCTGTCCAACTTAAAACACTCTTCTACTCTATATAAACACCATATAAAATTTTCAACTAGGGTTGTTTTGTTCCCTGTCCACAATATTGGGCGGCGTAAAGCCAGTGTTGCTAAATTTAAATTGCGAAAAAAAGCTAAATTTGGTTTCAATTCCAGCCACTGGTTCAAAATTCTCTCTACTGCAGGTTCAATAGATTGCCACCTGATTGTACAGCTGTTTAACATTTTTAGAGGTATTTGATTGTCATTGATAGCTTGATACAGTTGCTCATAAGATGTCTGCCCCAATAAAGAATGCGAAAACCATTTATAGGTTTCTGCAATCAAAAATTCTAAGTGTCTAGGGAGACATTCCTTACAAGTGTGAATGGAATACACACATCTTAATAGGATTATAGATGAAATTTCTGACTTTAGCTTTGCATAGACAACATTGTTTACACCAACCATAACGCTGGCGTTGTCAGTACTAATGGAGATAAGATTTTTAATATTTAGTTTCATTTGTAAATGTTCACTTTTTAATGCAGTCACAATTCCATCTGCGTCATATTTTTCTAAAATTACCATGCTAAGATAAGTGCGGATAACTTTTTTATATTTTCGCTATTAAAAATAATAGTAATTCCTAAAATTTATTCACAGAGATATCATTCGACTCATCTATCAATAAACTAAACTTTCCATGCCCAATATCAGAAATCGGGTCTTCTGTAAAATGATGCCTAAGAACATTCTTTATTATTTCAAAGTATTTAATTCGGTGCATTTTTACCTTTGGCAAGATTTTACTGTGTGTAAAAGTATTTTTCACAGTTCTATTAAGTGGTCTCAGCTGTTCACTGAAGAGTGGCAGCAAACATACAATGCAATAATAGCTTCTGGCTTTGCTTTTTCTTGAGATTTCTTAAAAACCATATCTGTTATAGGAACTACCTTCTTATACGGGAAGGAAGGAAGGTGTTTTTTTGTTGAAGCGTGGTTCACTAATTGACAATGCTTTGCTGCTATATCACATTTGCAAAATCGGCAATGTCCTTTAGTACTGTCACCAGGGACCTCACATAACCACTTTTTAAATGCTTCCATTTGTAGCCACTCTTTTCTGAAGCTTTGCTTATATGTTTTACTTGCGCTGCTACTCATCTTAAATCGGAAAAAAATTATTAAGAATTTAATTGATCAGTAATTTAGACACTATTTCTCACAAATACAGACAGTGTCAGAGTGTCTCTAACTCAGATTATACAATTTTTGAAGCAAAGGATAGATATAGATTCGAGCGAGAGACTGACGCGGCGACGCAACATATGTAAGTGAATAAGCAAACTCTTTAGTCAGTAGTCATTACTCATTACTCAATAGCAAAGAACCAAAAACGTTTTCAAAGGTTAAATTGAAACGTGTTAAATTGAAACAAACTTGATTGTTTTTTTATAATTTTTCGAAAAAATTAAAAGATTTTAACTAAATTAGCAAAATTATGTCATTATATAAATAATATTTGGAAGAGGCTAAAAAGAGCTAAAACAATTTTCCATGAAGCTAGATTAAAATCAACATATAAAAAAAAAGAAAAAAAAAGATTTAGAGCTAAGATTCAAAATTATGAAGCTAAAAAAGTATAAAAAGAGCTAGATTTAACTCTAAAAGAGCTGGATTGGAAACGCTGTGTGAAACCTGTTTTTGCTGTTTTTTAGTATTTTTTTATGGTTTCATAGCAACATGTTACCATTTTATTTTTTTTAATACTTTTTCTATTTTTTTTTCTAAAAATTGATTTAAAAATTAGAGGGGGTTTCCCTGTTAACTCAAAATGCGGTGAACGCACAATTTGAAACAAGAACTTTCTGGCACCTTCACTTTAGCTGAAATTGAAAAACTGTATTTTCATAACAGAAAGGCCTGGTGTACCGTTCCTTGTCAAAAATTAAATTTTTTTTTTTGACCATGAATAAACCAAACAACAACAACAAAAAAATTAATAATTTATTTATATGTGATTTGGTCATGAATAATTGAACAGAAAAAAAAAATCATGCCCGAAACACACGTTGGAACACCATGGAAATTTTTCTTCGTACGCACACGGGAAGTTACTTCGTAATTAAATGCTAGACTTTGTTATTTACTGTTTTTATACGCAAGGATTTTGATTAATACAAAATTTTAATAAAATTACAAGAGCAATAAATAATCTTAAATTGTGACATAGATATGTTGTTAATAACTAAATTCATATACCAATGTAAACATTTCCAGTAAAATGACAACAGTAAAAAACATTAGAACTATTTCGGCACACAAAAATGATATAAATTGCTGTGTTTTTACTTCAGATGGAAAAGCTGTTGTATCTGCTTCAGCTGATAAAACTACACGGGTTTTCAATGTTAAAAACGGGAAAGAATTAGTTTTTTCTCCTTTATGTGAACATATCTATTCTGTTACAACGTGTGCCCTTTCACCAATATATAAAATTTTGGCTACAGGATCTCGAGATTGCACTGTAATATTATGGGAAGTAACAACTGGAAGGAAAATTACCGTGTTGATGGGATGCAAGGGTGCTATTCGATGCTGTTCATTTTCAGAAAATTTGCCATATCTTGCTACTTGCTCAGAAGATTCATCAATTATGGTTTGGAACATTTTAACTTATGAGTTGTTAAATACACTTCGAGGCTCAGAATTTGCTTTGATTACTTGCAGATTTACACCTGATGATTTGTACATAATTTCTGGCTCTTTAAATGGAGACATTAGAGTTTGGGATTTAAATTCAAGTAAATGCATGAATGTTGTACTAGCTCATGACTGTGGTGCCAGTGGTGTTGGCTTGAGTAGTTGTGATTTTTCACCTAAATATGGTGCTGGTAAGGTGTTGTATGTTATAATAGTGTATGTTGTTACTTGTAATTCTTTCATATGCATATTTAAACCAACATAACAATGGTAAGAGACAAAATGATGATATTATTGATTTATTTTTCAATTACATTTAAAAATAATGACTGACTTGTGTTAAATAGAGAATGCTTGATTTATTTTTGCAAAAAATCTTAAAAAGGATTTTTTTACGAATATTGCACATCTAATTAAAATCTCAACTTTTTATGATGTTGATTTCACTCTAATGTTATTGATCTAGCTATCTAATGTTGTTGATTCTTAACATATTACCAAATCTACTTTTTTTTCTCCAGAAAAAAAATGTAGATTTAGTAATATGTTAAGAATCATCAATGTGGTTTACTCTTATGACCCACAAAAGCAAACCATATTGACTATTCTTAAAATATTCTTTTCATTTATAAATATTCCAATCTCTAGCTTACAACTTGATTTACAGTTATTTAGACTAACACCGCAAAACTTTCTGATCATTATCTTATCTGTTTTTTTTAGAATTATAATTTAACTTTTACAGCTTATGTTTTATTGCTGTTCTACAATACACTGGACATATGTTTTGTACAGTTTTTTTGGCTATCAAAAATAAAAATGAAAAATAAAAACTTTATTAAAGGAAAGTATATTATATATTTTATGTATTTTAGATAATATTTACAGAAGAGAGGGAAAAAACTATAAATTATATTAATAATAAAATAAATTGACAGCTATTCATATACATATAAACTATCACTACCATCACTGTATACTAAATATATTAATATTGACTTATATAT